CTCTCAGGTCTTCACGTAGCAGGAGTATATGTATATACTGGGTGAGTCCATTTGTTGTAAAAAGGAGAGGACCCCACAACAATAATCTTTCCACTACATGTCAAAAAAGGTACTCTCAAGTTAAAAAAGGTAACTTATCAGACTATCTAAAGAAAGAAGTTTTGTTTTGAGGTGTTAAAATTAACAAGCATTTCTTACTTCATTTAAGAAACAGATTGTTGGTCATTTTATATTTTTCAGGCATTTCTATTAAGCTATTATTGTATTCTTTATATATTAAGCCATTATTCTATTCTTTAAATATTTTTATAGGCATTCCTATTAAGCTATTATTCTATTCTTTATATATTTTATAGGCATTTCTATTAAGCTATTATTTTATTCTTTATATATTTTATAGGCATTCCTATTAAGCTATTATTTTATTCTTTATATATTTTATAGGCATTCCTATTAAGCTATTATTCTATACTTTAAATATTTTTATAGGCATTCCTATTAAGCTATTATTTTATTCTTTATATATTTTATAGGCATTCCTATGAAGCTATTATTCTATACTTTAAATATTTTTATAGGCATTCCTATTAAGCTATTATTTTATTCTTTATATATTTTATAGGCATTTCTATTAAGCTATTATTCTATACTTTAAATATTTTTATAGGCATTCCTATTAAGCTATTATTTTATTCTTTATATATTTTATAGGCATTTCTATTAAGCTATTATTCTATTCTTTATATATTAAGTTATTCTATTCTTTAAATATTTTTATAGGCATCTCTATGAAGCTATTATTCTATACTATATGTATTTTTATAGCCATTTCTATTAAGCTATTTTTCTATTCTTTATATATTTTTATCGGCATTTCTATTAAGAATTATTTTATTCTTTTATATATTAAGTCAGGGTTTTCAAACTTTTTGACTTGGACCCCTTTATATTTCAGGCTTTTACCTTGGGACCCCCCCTTATAAACGCTTATGAAATTTATACATAAATATTTGCTGAATATAACATATAATTTTGCATTAATGCAAACGCCTAACAGCCAATGAGAAAGCCGGAAATCACTAAATAGATCCAAAAATTCAAATCCTTTTGGTTCCTTCTCTGCATGAATAGAATCCATTATCTTTATCAATTTAAGATACAAATTATATTAGTATAGCAAATCTATGAAATAATTTATTGAATCAATTTATTTCATGATCGGCCTATAAGTTATTTATAAGCGCTTATAAGTTGCACGTCACCCATAAAAAAGTCGTAGCTGTCCACGGACCACAGTTTGAAAACCCCTGTAAGTTATTTTTTTGTTCTTTATATATTTTATAGGCATTTCAATAAGCTATTATTATATTCTTTTTTATTGTCCTCGTAATTGAAGACACCTTAAATACGAGGTTAACGTGAGATCTTGCTTCTCCTGGAAAGGGGTCAACAGTCAAAACTATTTAGAAATCTCCGTTTGAGACGAAAACCAGACAGCGTACTTGATGTAAAACTAGAATAATTATAAAAGCTACGACAGAAACAGTTGGATAAAACACAACAGACGAAAATAAAACGTTGGTGGTCGGGACAGACGGTGGTGAGTTAGTCGCGTTGCGAGATAGTATATCACTAAGTTGAAAACATTTGACCCCTGAGACATCGTTGATTTACGACGTCATGAATAAAGGTCAAGGTTTTCAACCACCCCCGACTACCCGATCGGGCATTCCTTCAGACCCGATAGTGGCGACGATAGTCGAGAATTAAACGTCTGATACGTCTTGTTGTCGTTGTGCTATTAGATATTAAACTTCACTTGCAAACGATGAAGTACTTGGCGTGTTTCTCAAATAAACTCCCGTTTTAAAGCGGCGGAATGCTTACACGAAGGATTTTCATTAACAACAACCTGAACCAATGGAAATCTCCTAGGTGTTGACAAAGAGAATCAACCATTATCCCAAGCCTTTTCACTTCTCTCACACCTTGCCTGTATCTTCACATTCTCTTCCTTATCCTTTTCAATACTATAACGATTATCCATTATCTCATTTTTAGGCTTTTCTCTTACCCTTACCCAACGAGGATCAACCATTATCTCACACCTCGTCACTTCTCTTACACCTTGCCTGTATCTTCGCATTCTCTTCCTTATCCTTTTCAATACTATAACGATTATCCATTATCTCATGCTTAGGCTTTTCTCTTACCCTTTGCCTGTATCTTCTCTTTCTCTTCCTTATCCTTTCCGATCCAATAAAGATCAGTCATTATTTAATGCTGCTGATCTTGTCTAATCCCTTTTCAGTATCTTCTCATTCCTTGCTTTATCCTTTCCAACGCGAAAATAAATTCCATTATTCATGTCTGAACACTCCTCTTCTTCTTTGCCTGTATCTTCTTCTTTTCTCCCTTATCCCTTTCAAAATAGCAAAGATTATCTATTAGTTCATGCTTCTGTCACATTTAGCCTGTATCTTTTCATTCTCCCCTTATCCTTTCAAATAAAACAATGAATGTCTATTATTTCATATTTCTACGCTTCTGTCACAATCTGAATGTATCATCTTCTTTTCTTCCTTATCCCTTTCAATACAACTAAGATTATAAATTATTTTACGGTTCGAAGACTTTTAACCTGTATCTTCTCCTTCACTCATTAACCTTTTCAATACAACAATGAATGTCCCTTATCTTATATCTATACACTCCTCTGACTCTTTGCCTGTATCTTCTTGTTTTCATCCTTATCCCTTTCGATAGAGCAAAGATTATTGATTATCTCATGGTTATAAACACTTTTAACTGGTATCTTCTCAGTGGACATTCATTGTTGTATTGGAAAGGATATGGGGACAATTAGAAGATACAGGCTAAAAGTGTTAGAACCAAGAAATAATCGATAATCTTAGTTGTATAATAAACAGTATTAATAACATTTACCGGCCTGAATGTCCGAGAAATTTCATATATATATATATCCTCCGACAGAAATCGAACTTGTATCCAATACGGAACCGTCAAATAGCCTGACGGGCCTTTTAAATCAATTGAGCCACAGAATGTATAAACATAAAATGTCTTAAATTGTCGGACTTTGTCCATTTCATAAAGTGTGGCGTCATTTGTTTACATTTGGATACGCTTTTGAGCAGATATGAATGTACGTGAGAGATTCATGGAAGATTATAGTTTAAAAGCAGCAAAATCGACCTTGCTAATCGAACGATCACTGTGGCTCCGTCGGTTAAGGCACATCGGTCTATATGACGGTTCCGTATAGGATGCAGGTTCGATTCCTGACGTATATTTTGTATGAAAATTTCTCGACATTCAGGCCGGTAAATGTTGTTAATACTGTTTATTATAAACAGAGCATTTACTTAAATATTTGTATCTATAAAAGAATGTATAAACATAAAAATGTCTTAAAATAATTGTCGGACTTTGTCCATTTCATATATGGAATTGTATATATTGAATTGTATATATTGAACATTGAATTGTATATATTGGATAATATATATATATATATATATATATAAGGAACATTGAAGTCAACATTCAGAGGCGACAGGCTGTTTCATGCTAGGTGCAATCGTCAGGTCATCATATCTTTATATGTATATATATATATATATATATATATAATCAATCCTGTTATATTTCACTCACCATTAGCTTATTTTGTTTACTATAAAACATTGAAAATAAATGTTAAACCTGATTTCAGTTCTTTTATTTTAATCTAAATATAACCCCTCATATCCAGACTTTGTAACAAATTCTTCCTATCCGGAATCCCTCATATCCAGAATCCCTCATATCCCGAATCCCTCATATCCGGACATTGTAACCAATTCCTCATATCCAGAATCCCTCATATCCGGACATTGTAACCAATTCCTCATATCCGGAAGGCCTTCTTAACCCGGTTGTCAGGGATTCTGCTGTATTTTAATTGAATTATTATGTTATATTATTATTAAAGTAACAAAGTAAATATTTCTTAATATGAGTTCATCGATCCATTCTTTTTATTTAATAATTTAATTTCATTACTAAAAATTAATATTCATCATTTTCCTTCTAAACACAGCCTACAATTCCTATTAATAATATTATATATAGGTACTCTTTATAATTTCCCATACAACTTTAGTAGGTAGATTTTTTTTTTGAGTCCATATATATTTTGATAATGTTGTGCTATACGCGTATTTATCTATATTACAAAAACCTAAAAATTGATATTTAATGTTAAGCAATCTTTTTATATAATATTATTAATGCTCTATTTTTTATATTATTTTAATATTTTTAATATAATTTATATATATATATATATATATATATATATATATATAATATAAAAATATATCAAATACTAATTATTCCATGGTTATAATTTATTACATTGAAATCGTAACAACGATTCAAACTGATGAATTGGATCGTGATTTCAATTCCAATACAATAAATTATAACCATGGAATATTAGTGTTTGAGCCTTTTTATTATATCCTTACTCTGTCCTGGACATTGAGTTCTACCTAGATTCTATCCTTTTTGAAATTTATATATATATATATATATATATATATATATATATGAAAATTTATGAGAGTTAACCTGTAGAAAAGACAATATTTAGAAATAGTCTTGAAAGTCCACATTGGACGAAACGCGTCAACAATAACTACAGTGTTCCTATTGTCATTTATATATATATATATATATATATATATATGAAGAAATATAGTTTTAAGGTATGCTATATTTATGGGATAAAGTGCTCAATATCAGAGATAGAGTGTGTGTAATATATAAGTGAACATTAGACAGGCTGTTTCATGCCAGATCGTTAGGCCACGCTAGCACGAAACAGCCTGTCGCCTCTGAGTGTTGACTTCAATGTTCACTTTATATATATATATATATATATATATATATATATACGTGTGTGTGTGTATGTATGTATTGACTAATTAATATTATCAATATATATATATATATAGAAATATATATATATATAGATAGATAGATAGATAGCGATAGATAGATAGATAGATAGATAGATAGATAGATAGATAGATATATAAAGTCAACTCCCCCCACACACACACACACTAAGAAGAGAAAACAAAATTATCAACGCTGCTGAGTACTGTCCACTTCTGTTTAAGACATGAAATCACGGCCTCCAAACTTCCACTCTTTGTTAATGTAAGTCATGACTTTTACCCCCCTTTTATGTTTATTCCTCTGCTATCCATTTTATCAGACTCGTTACGTCATTTTTTCGGTGCCCCCTACCCCAGCCGATGTCTACCCTTTTCAATAAGTCTTGTGAGTGTTAAATTTTCAAAGCCTTCTTTCCTCGTTATATGCCCAAAACGTTCTTCAAACGGCATCTATTGAAAAAAAAACGCTACCAGCTCCTTTCTTCTTGTTCTTTTCGACTACGTTTGCCTAAGAGGGTCTTTTAGCCTTTCTTTCTAAATCTGACACCAGGAAAATGTCGTCTGCCTCGCACTGCTCCGTAATAACAGTCTATGAAAGCAACTCGTTCAATTTACGCTACAGTAAAGGCGCCCCACATCCCACCATTTTCTTTTCTTTTTTTTTTTTTTTTTTTGAGGGGGGGATTTTTTTAGCTATTGTATACAATGTATGCACTTCATTACGCGTGGATACTTAGATAAATAGACAAATATAAACACGATCTTGTTATATTTCCTCCCCGTTTTTGTTTTTAATCTATTTTAGGCGAGTGAGAGGGTGTCTTTATCGGCTCTCGTCAAGTCGAGCGGAAACTCATCGACAGATCTATTTCTGCTCACGTGACTGACGTCGTCGGTTGACGCATTTGGGCATGCGCCGGCGTCTCTCCGTTTTTCACTGCATGGCGGGAAAATCTCAAAAGAAGACACACAGAGATTCGCCTCTCCTACTCCGTTGTCTACCAGCCTCTCTTAGACTGCCGGCAATCCAGAGGAACGGCATCCGCCACCACTTCATACACACACACCCACACACACACACACGCACACGCACACACGAACGCACACGCGTACGCACACACACAGAGAGACATACAGAAAGGAATGATGAGCAACTGAGGCGGGGGGCCTGGAGCTAGGGGAGTGGTGGGGAAAGACGAACAAACAAACAAAGCAAATAACGAAATAAATGTATAAAAATAAACGTCTTCCAGCCGAGCGGAAGGAAAAGCAAATGGAATTATGGGAATTATGACAAAGAATGAAAATAAAATGAAAGTATTTCCAAAGAGATAGATAGATAGATAGATAGATAGATAGATAGATAGATAGATAGATAGATAGATAGATAGATAGGAATGAATTAAGGAAAGAAGAGACGAAAATAGATAGACAGACAGACAGACAGATAGATAGATGGGAATGAATTAAGGAAAGAAGATAGATAGATAGATAGATAGATAGATCTTAACAGACTGAAACAGTTCGACCTGAACAGACTGAGATAGATAGATAGATAGATAGATAGATAGATAGATAGACAGACAGACAGTCAGATAGATAGATAGGAATGAATTAAGGAAAGAAGATAGATAGATAGATAGATAGATAGATAGATAGATAGATAGATAGATAGATAGATTTTTTCACACAATCTCATTGGATTTATGTTTCCAAAAGAAGATGCTAAGGAGTTTTCTCACGCATTTGTTCTCAATCACTTGGATCCTTCTCTCTGTTTCTGGCAAAAGTGTCCCCGTTTCACATCCACATAGGAGAATGGAGACTACCAGCGATTTGTACAGTCTCTACTTCGCTTAAAACCTGATTTTGCTCCTCCATATTCTTGCCAATTTTATTATATACATATTGTTATATATATTGATGAACATTATCACATGAAACTCTGAAAGTGGATATTGGTACTGATAATCTTATATTTAGGCTCTGTTGACTTTGGCATTGAACGTTCAATCTATTTTATATTTAAGCTTTTATTTTTACTGCATATATATATATATATATATATATATATATATATATATATATATATAGTCAACTCTCCCGTGAAATTCGACGTATGAGGGTCATGCAGATCAGTTTCCAATAACTCATTTACAATAGCATTTTCGGATACAACAATACATATATTTTCGTTGTCCTCTTATTACTAAGAGAAAAAACAAGAACAACATCTATTCCATACCTGAAGATGTCTGTAGTAACAGACGAAAGCTTGTCGTAAAAATAAGAACTAATACGGCAGAAATTTATAGAAACAAGGATCTTTTCATTCATAACGGATTCGAGGTTTTTGTATATTATTTGAATTGTTTGCGACGATGGATTTCACCAATTAAATCATTAACCTTTGCATTTGTTTTTTTTGTGTGAATAATTCATGAATTTGTAAATTGATTGCACGTTTATCGAAATATATATATATATATATATATATATATATATATATATATATATATATATATATATATATATAATAAAATTATACAGATTTTTAGAACCTCAAAGTTTTGGTAAATTTTCTTTTCTTGTATCAGCGAGTGACCATAAATTAGTACAGAAATTTTAGCGTTTTTTTGCGGGGAAAAAAATATTTAAATATAAATTCTTGCAATAAGATTTTAATGAAACATTCAGAACTTATTCACAAAATAAATTATTTTAGAAATGTTTCTTTTTTAGTAAATTTTGGTAAAATATATTTTTATATGTCGAGAAATTCGGTGTTCTTTTTTAATGTTTACAATTTTTTAGACAATTGAAATTATAAATTTTTACTTTTACAGTTACAGAAAATCTGCTCTTAGTCGTAAAATCGAAAATGCAATAAAACTGAGACATAAGAATTATTTAATTCAAAAATCTTTTAATTGCTTTCATCAATAATATATTATTGATATTGTTTTAAAAAATTCGATGAATAGTGAATTGTTACAAGAATCATTTTCATTTCTTTTAATTAAATCTTTTAAAATTCTTTATTAATTTTTAGCGGCTAGGTGATGATGTTTTGAAGTAAAAACTTATATTTATTAATCATAAATGGAAAACCTTACTACAACTTAGCGACCGCCGTATTTAAAAATCATTTTGAATTTGTTTTGTGTGTGTATACATTTATCGTTTTTGCACAAGAACTCCCAAAATAAGACCTAGCAAAGTGCAGAAGAACTCTCAATGTGTCAACAGCCAGCTAACTAGAGGCGGTGTCCCCATAAACCACCGTGGAACGGGAAACCACTCAACTAGAAATCCCAAGAAATATCATGGCAACTAGGACACACATCCTGAAATCTAACATTTGAATCGGATAAATACATGAACTTTGTTAATTTCTTATAAAATGGAAGTATATTTGTTGCACTCACACACACACACACACACACACACACATATATATATATATATATATATATATATATATATATATATATATATATATATATATATATATATATATATATATATATATATATATATATATATATATATATATATATATATATATATATATATATATATATATATATATATATAGTGATACATAATATCAAAATATATATAAAAAAAAACAATTACTTCAAATCAATTTATACTAGTTTTGAAACACACCAGAGTCTTTGGCTTATTGAAAATATCAAATCCAGTCTCGCAGGTTGAAATTAAAACTAAAATAAAAGCTTCAAGAAAGATATTGTTCACTATTAAAATTCATTCTAAACGTTATGTATCGCGTTTTAGAGGTGGGTCTTATATATATATATATATATATATATGAAATAGATCCTAAAGAGCCAGGAACAACCTACCTAGGTTTCACCTAAACGGATCTTCAAGACATATATATATATATACGTACTCCGACAGGAATCGAACCTGTATCCAATAAGGAACCGTCATATAACCTGACGTGCTTTACCGATTGAGCCACAGAGGAATGTTTCAGTTAGTAAGGTCGATTTTACTGTTTTTAAACTACAGTTCTCCATGATTATCTCTCGCATATTCATATCTCTTCGATGCGTATCCAAATGTAAACAAATGACGTCACACATTATGTAATGTGTCGGTAAAGCTTGTCAGGCTATATGACGCTTCCTTTTAAATATATATATATATATATATATATATATATATATATATATATATATATATATATAATGTCATCCGCAAACAGACCTGTTTCGTTGTATCACAGCTCATCAGTGCGACTAGACATTCAAATACTTCAAGCCAGGATCGAAAGCCGACCGATCTGGTATCAGTCGGAGTTTCTACCCATAAGCCATCAGGGCTTCGGCGGAGAGAGGGCGAATTCTAGCCTACTGTTTTTCCGAAGGTAAACAAACGCCAGACATTAATGATATGTAAGTGTGTGAGTGCGTATGCGTGTATGTGTGTGTATATGCAGGGTGCGATGGGTCAATTGTCGCCATATTTTATTTTTAATTTCGCGTTGATTGTTTTCGATTTTGTCGAAACGGCATGCTGTACTGCTTGGCATTCGCACTGGAAGCTCCAATACGAACATTTCAGAGTATTTGGGTGTCAATCTGAGGACAGTGTAGAGGATTCGGAAAGAGTTGGATGAGTTTAATATCGTTCTAACAAGAAAAGAACACCCGAATTTGTTGGTGAGGGCCTCAGACTCAACATGGAGGCCTACATCAAGTGCCTAGAGGAGGTAATGCTGTCCCCTGGGTTAAGAGTGTGGCTGCTGGAAGACCCCTATATCTGGCAACAGGACTTTTGCACCATGCCACACAAGAAGGAGAACAAATCATATCTGTCAGACAATTTCTGTGACCACACCACCCCCTTACATCAGGCCACCTAACTCCCAAACTGTAACCCCTTGATTATTATGTATGAGGCACAATTGAGCAACAGACCAACAAAACGCTTTTGTAACACCAAAGATGAACTGAAGGCAAGGATTATGGCAGCTTTAAACGAGCAGACCGTCCAGAAGGGTTGCAGGAGATTCCAAGTCGCCTGGAGGACGTGGATGGAACCAATGGCGATTTTATTGAATGAATTTACTTTTTAGGATTTGAAGATATTTTTTTGTGTAAATATATCTGTCAAAATGAGGTGTTAGTGTTATTTTTTGGTTTTGGTGTCATTTAGACGACAATTTATCTATCGCAATTGTATATCTGTCAAAATGAGATGTCAGTGTTATTTTCATTTTTTGGCGTCATTTAGACGACAATTTATCTATCGCAACCTGCATATCTGTCAAAATGAGATGTCAGTGTTATTTTCAGTTTTGGCGTCATTCAGACGACAATTTATCCATCGCACCCCGCATATCTGTTAAAATGAGGTGTCAGGGTTATTTTCATTTTTGCGTCATTTAGACGACAATTTATCCATCGCACCCTGCATATCTGTTAAAATGAGGTGTCAGTGTTATTTTCAATTTTGGCATCATTTAGACGACAATTTATCCATCGCAACCTGCATATCTGTCAAAACGAGGTGTCATTTAGACGACAATATATCCATCGCAAGCTAACGGAATCAACGGATCAATTGTCAAAAATGGCCAAATATTTCATCAAGACGACGATGCCGCTTGTCTACATGTCTCTTTGAGGACCAGCCAAAAAAAAATGTAGCTTCTCCGTGAATTTTCCACATATCTACCCGTCTTTTTCATAACAAATAATATTTCAATTTCTGCAAAGGCAGCAGAGAAGAGCAAACAGACGTTGTTAACTGAGAAAGGTCCCCCCCTCCTACCTTTAAAAAAAAAAACAAACAAACAGAAAGTATGGAATTATAAATCTGGTTGAAAGATGGCGGAAGATAATGGAACGAAACATCAAATATGTTTTTCATTAAAGTTAATTGAAAATAAAAGATGTGTCTTTTATTCGTCTTTTCTAAACTGAAAGGATTTAAACCTGTACGAGTGCAGGGAAGAAAAAGAAGTCGTTTTTTTTACCTTTGATTCTATAGACTTACGGGAAAGAAAGAAAGAAACAACGATAAAAGGATATAGAAAAAAAGAAAAGAAAGTAAAAGAAAGAAATGTAACAAGAAGAAAATACAGATAAGACTGAAAGAGAAAAAGAGAGAGAGAGAATGAGAGTGATAAAGATGAATAGGCATAGATAGATAGATAGATAGATAGATAGATAGATAGATAGATAGGGAGAGAAGGAGAGAGAGAGAGAGAGTGATAGATAAATATGAATAGGCTTAGATAGATAAACTGAGTGATAAATATGAATAGGCTTAGAGAGAAAGAGATAGATAGATAGATAGATAGATAGATAGATAGATAGATAGATAGATAGATAGATAGAGAGAGAGAGAGAGAGAAATATGGATAGGCGTAGATAGATAGATAGATAGATAGATAGATAGATGATAAAATGTACCGAGAAAGATGAAAAACTATAATAGATAGATAGATAGATAGATAGATAGATAGATAGATAGAGAGAGAGAGAGAGAAATATGGATAGGCGTAGATAGATAGATAGATAGATAGATAGATAGATAGATAGATAGATAGAAATATGAATAGGCGCAGATAGATAGATAGATAGATAGATAGATAGATAGATAGATAGATAGATAGATATGAAGCGACTGACTGACATACACAAATAGATTAATGTATATTTGGGCAGCAACCTTTCTTTTAAATAACTTTCATTAAATATGGCAGACAGGAAAAATTTAATTAATTTTTATTTAGTTTTTCCAGAATTCTTATTTTTTCTTCTAGTGGGACCAAGTGAGTGCAATATACATACATACATACCGGTATGTGGCGAGATTAGACAAAATCAAAATCATATATATAGATACATATATATGTGTGTGTGTGTATGTGTCTGTGTGTGTATGTGTCTGTGTGTGTTTTGGCCGAAGTATGTATATATCAATAAATCGAAACAAATGGTTAGACACTGATTCAGAGAGAAACAGGGCGAGGTGGCTGTTTTCTTTTTCTTTTTCTTTTTTTTTTCTTTTCCTTTTTTTTTTTTTCAACTAAAAACTAAAAACTTAGAGCTAAAACATAAAGAATGTTATTTTTACAAAAATCTCGCTTCAAGGGAGATTGTAAGCAACAAAGATGGAAGGCACGGTGAAATACAAGGAAAGAAAGGATCCGTCAAAGAAAAGCGAGCAAAAAATAATAATATTAATAATAATAATCTGTGAAGGCAAATCGACACAAATTCTTTCGCCCCGTTTGTTTTTTCAATCTCCCTAAATCGTCGAATGCTTCTCGGCAGTGGAAATTGTTCAGCGTCACGGTCAGACGATTGAAGAATTCTGTCTCTATAGAACGATTCCGATTCTGTTGACCAACTCATGCACACTAATGTTGTCAATGAGGCGAAATTTTGCCGCCCTTTTTTCTGAAAGCCGCCATTTTGGGAGTTTTCATTTAGTTACAGTTTATCAGATTAGTTTATTTGTGTCAAACCATTCGATGGATTGATTGATTATTATTTGCATTATTATTACAAGTAGTAGTAGTAGTAGTAGTGGTCATAGTAGTATTTATGTCGATCTTTTCAAGTTGCTATTATTATTATTATTATTATTACAATCTTTTCAAGTTATGACATTTTTGTTATTATTATTTTTAGTAGTAGTAATACTAGAGCTCTCTTTTCATGTTATTATTATTACAATCTTTTCAAGTTATGACTGTTGTTGTTATTATTATTATTAGAAGTAGTAGTGGTAGTAGTAGTAATAACCATAGCTATCTTTTCAGGTTACTATTATTATTATTATTATTATTATTATTAGCAGTAATAGTAGTAATGGTGATATTTTCAAGTTATTATTATTATTATTATAACTAGTAGTAGTCGGAGTATTAGTAGTAATAGTGGTCTTTTCATGTTATTAATATTATTACTATTAGTAGTAGTAGTAGTAATGATGATATTTTCAAGTTATTATTATTGTCATTACTACTACTACTACTACAAGTAGTAGTAGTAATGACAATCTTTTCAAGTTATTGTTACTGTTATTATTATTAGTCGTAATGGCGATCTTTTCAAGTTATTATTATTACTAGTAATAGTAGTACTAACAATCTTTTGAAGTTACTGTTATTATTACTAGTAGTAGTAGTATTAATGACGATCTTTTAAAGTTATCATTATTATTGTTATATTTATTGATTGAAAGAGAATCACGCCAACAAAATGATACTGGCGAACATATATATATATATATATATATATATATATATATATATATATATATATATATATATATATTACCCAAAATATGCATTATGTTATCCTGTTTGATAAAGAGTATACGGCGCACATTGTTATCTTATTATAATTGCGCTTGTCCACCCGCTTCGTTAATTCGCACGACCGTTATATCCTGCCAGAAACTCATAAATAATAGACTATTCTGTTTTGATTGCGTGGAAGAAGGTGCAAATTCTAATTGGCTTCTGTAAGAAAATCAAAAAAAGAAAGTATAAAAGAAGGAAAGATAGAACGTTTCGAAACAATTGCTCATAAATTAAGGACTATTCCGTTTTGATAGCGTGGAAAGTAAGGAAAAAGACACTACTTGGTTTCAGTGAGGAAAATGAAAGAAAGATACAAAGAAGGAAAGATTGAAGTGTTTAACATCTCCTGCTAAAACTTCATAAATAAAGGACTATACCGTTTAAATCGCGTGAAAAAAATGGGAAAGACACTACTTGGTTTCAGTGAGAAAAATGAAAGAAAGAAACGAAAGGAATATAGAAGTGTTTAACGCCTGCTTCAGTGAAATGGGAAAAGTCTTCAATTTCAAATCTTTTCATTTGTATCCCCTTCCTTCTTAAAATAACGACCATCATTATGATTGTTATTACAATATTTTGTTAAAGTTAAGCTCAAATATTTAACCCTGTGATAGGGGGAAATTCTACGGATATTTTATTGTCAAAGAACTCGACATGAGCTAACCCAATCATTAACTTTAAAATTAAAATTCATCAAAATATTAAAATTGGAAAACCGTGAACTCTTCACGGGCTAAAACTAGGTAAAGATAATGTTATTATTTTCTTCTCTTCTTCCTTATGGCTTATCGTCATCTATTTGAGATTTGGCGCTATGTATCTTCTCCATCATGTCGTACGACCTCAAACAGATGTCGACCTTTCGTAGAGAATTTGGAGTCCCAAGCAGCGCATACTTTTGAAACGATGGGATTCTTTCAAAACTTCGTCAAAGTTAGGCTTTTTGCCGACGTGTTTCGTCATTTGACTTTATCAAGCCAAATGATGATAAGCAAAAGCGAAATGTTATGAGAATTTTAACATCGAAAACAAAAATGCACACTTAGTCAAAAAAAAAAAAAAAAAAAAAAAAAAAGTTACTAATATCCAAAAAGAGGCTTTTTTCTCAGGAGCGCCTTTTAAAAAATTTTCGAATTTCATCTAACTACACAACATTTCAGTTTTGTTTATCATCGCTTGCTTTCGGCAACATGTCGGCAAGGGCTGAGTACTAGTTTCCAATTGTCTATTTTATTCAATTTATCTTCTCTAAAGATTTATTCTGAGAACTTTAACACACACACATACATACGTATATATAGCCGACGTTGACATATTAACATTAAAACAGCATAATTGTATATAAGGATTTTGTTTTGTTTTTTCCGTATATTTTTCTTCATACTGTCGGATCTATATCCATATATTTGCTTATATATATATATATATATATATATATATATATATATATATATATAGTTTATACGTATATACATACATATATATATATATATATATATATATATATATATATATATATATATATATATATATATATAGTTAATTTACATATGCTAATAAGGCCCGTCATTTTTCATTTCAACCTTTAATAATTCTCGTTTTTTCACTCTCGCGTGGTCATGTATGACGTCATGAGCTGCGACATGATTTTCGCTTCCGCGTCTCGTATACACGAATTTGTCATTGCTTCGAAATTTTTCATGCAACAAAAACAGATTATCATTATTGTTCAGTGTATTGGTTGATATATTGAAAATAATTGTAATCGTTGATAATGGCTTATGTAAGCTGAAAGCTTAGATTGCATTTAAACATGTATCAATATGGTGATTTCCTTTATGGTGATAATGTTATTAAGTTTATCAGACAATATGAAAGGAACTTACTTAAAATAAATAGACAAAACTTGTCTATATTATTTAATGAAACATGCATTAATGAAAAACTGTTGCCTAATATACACAATATATACACAGAAGCGCCATCGCCTCTCTCTGTCTTTTTTACAAATACTTTCATGGTAATTGCTCCGATGAGCTGCTTTCACTGGTTCCCAGACTTCATGAATTCAAGCGCCCTTCGAGGCCGGCATCCCGCTCTCACCCTTTCACTGTAGAAACTTTTAAATATCGCCGTCTCTTCTACTCCAATAGCTTCATAAATCGCAACTATTCAAATGTAATGTCAATCGACATCTCCAGTTACCTTGATCTATCCACTATCCCTCTCTTCATCCTTTCTTCTATCACTCCTATCTGCTCTTGCTCCAGATCTTCTGCAACTCCCTACATCCTAGTGGCTTCACGCCTTGCTCGGGGCGTAATGCTTAATATATATATATATATATATATATATATATATATATATATATATATATATATATATATATATATATATTGAATAAAAAACAGACCACGTTAAGATTCCATGTAATAAGCTATTTCACCATAACCCCTTTAACAGGCTTCTGGATCATCAGACTTTACTTCCAAAAGCTGAAATGAAAAGTGAAAAGAAATTTATACGTTTTTTAGGGACCTCATCAAGTCTACGTAAAGTTAACGAAGTGAGGGAGTGAGGTAGGAGAGAGGATATGAGTGTGTCATATGTATCATTTTAGTTTCCTCTTTTATATTTCCTATATATATATAACGCGCGATGGGAACATTGTCGCCATTTTATAATTTTTAAGTTCGCGCATGCGCGTTGTTTGTTTTTTAATTTATCCACTACACAGTACAGTAGGGTCAGTTGGGCACTGTCTGTGAGAAAAGGAGCACCATGGTGCAATTCACTCCTCCAGAAATTCGGGAACGGCATGCTGTACTGCTTAGTATTCACGCCGGAAACCCCAATACGAACATTTCAGATTGCTTGGGTGTTAATCTGAGGACAGTGCAGAGGATTCGGAAAGAGTTGGATGAGTATAATGGTGATTACGAAGGTACAGCAGCCCGAAAAACACACTCTGGTCGTTCTGATAAGAGAAAAACGCTTGAATTTGTTGGTGAGTGTCTCAGACTCAACAGGGGGGGCCTATATCAACTACCTTGATAGTGTATGCTGCACTAGGTCAAGAGGGTGGCTGCTGGAAAACCCTATGTCTAGCAACAGGACTCTGCACCATGCCACACAAGCAGGAGAACCTAGTAATGGCTGTCAGACAATTTCTGCGACCACATCACCATTTACATCTGGTCACCTAACTCCCCAGACTGCAACCCCCTTGATTATTATGTGTGGAGCGCAGTTGAGCAAGAGACCAACAAAACTCCTTGTAACACCAAAGATGAACTGAAGGCAATGATTATGGC